CTCAAACAACGATGGATCTGAACCAAACTTGGCACAAACACTCAATATGCCCAAATATGATCACTGGTGGAGTTTGGGGAAAACAAACCTTGACATTTGGGAGTTGTAGTTGCTGGGATTTATAGTTCACCCACAATCAAAGAGCATTCAGAACTCCACCAACGATAGAATTGGGCCAAACTTCCCACACAGAATCCTGATGCCCAACAGAAAATATTGTGTTTCCTGATGGTCTTTGGCGACCCCTCTGACACCCCCTCACGACCCCCTCAGGGGTCCCGACCCCCAGGTTGAGAAACACTGATATAATCCATATCCTCAAACAAAAAAAAAAGGCACATGAAAGGCGTGCACATGTTTAAGTCATCCCTTAGTTCCATCTTTAGAAGACTTTAGAAGAGAAAAACCTGTGGTCTGCGAATAGTTTATCATCCTGCCAGAACAAAGAAGGACATTTTGTTTTATCTCTAATGTCTAATTCGAGCAAGCCTTTGTTCAATGAGTGGGAGACTTAAGCATCTCTTGCACATGGAGTGCTCTTTGTTTGGGACTCTTTAGGAAAGCTGTTTTCAATTAAAGATGATCAAAATAGAAGAAATTGTTATCTACTATCGCATACGTGCCAGCATGGAGCCATAGCAGGAATAGCAATTATGGGGTAATAAATAATGGTATTTATGAATAAAGATATTGTGAACATATGGAGGAATGGTGTATACAAGCGAAGACCTCAGGCACAGCCAAATATAATCAGATATGTGACTAGCCCATAGTTCAGCATCTAGAGTTTGGAAAGTTACTTTTGGCATGCCACTCCAAGGTTCTTTATCCAAAGCTGTTTTACCACAGCCTTCCTTTGAGGCAGAAAGATGTGACTTGTTCTGTTAGGTAGATAAAGCACTATTAGATAAGAATGCATTGACTGTAGCCCCTTCGTGTAAATCTGGTTGGAAAATACAGTTCTAATGGACATGTGGTCACACACCTACTGAAGGGTTAATTAGGTAGTGATGTGGAACTTTAAGGAACTCGTGGGCCATCCAGTCCAACCCCGAACCAAGAAGTAGGAAAATTGCATTCAAAGCACCGCTGAAAGATGGCCATCCAACCTCTGTTTAAAAGCCTCCAAAGAAGGAGCCTCCTCCACACTCCAGGGTAGAGAGTTCCACTGCTGAACAGCTCTCACAGTTAGGAAGTTCTTCCTCATGTTCTGATGGAATCTCCTTTCTTGTAGTTTGAAGCCATTGTTCCATTGCGTCCTAGTCTCCAGGGCAGCAGAAAACAAGCCTGCTCCCTTCTCCTTATAACTTATACTTATACATGGCTATCGTGTTTCCTCTCAGTCTTCTCTTCTGCAGGCTAAACATGCACAATTCTTTAAGCCGCTTCTCATAGGGCTTGTTCTCCACACCCTTGCTCATTTTAGTCGCCCTCTTCTGGACACATTCCAGTTTGTCAATGTCTCTCTTCAATTGTGGTGACCAGAACAGGTCACAGTATTCCAACTGTGGTCTAACCAAGGCAGAATAGAGCATTAGGAGCATGACTTCCCTGGATCTAGACACTAGACTTCTATTTATGCAGCCAAAATTCCATTGGCTTTTTTAGCTGCAGCATCACATTGCTGGTTCATGTTTAACTTGTTGTCCACGAGAACTCCAAGATCTTTTTCTCACATACTGCTCTCGAGCCACGCATCTCCTATTCTGTATCTTTGCATTTCATTTTTTCTGCCTAAGTGGAGTATCTTGCATTTGTCACTGTTGAGCTTCATTTTGTTAATTTTGGCCAATCATCTCTCTAATCTATTAAGATTGTTCTGAATTCTTCTCCTGTCTTCTGGAGTATTGACTATCCCTCCCAATTTGGTGTCGCCTGCAAACTTGATGATCATGCCTTCGAAACCTTCATCTAAGTCATTAATAAAGATCCTGAACAGGCCCAGGCCCAGGACGGAACCCTGCTTTTGGTACTCCACTCGTCACTTCTTTCCAGGATGAAGAGGAAACATTGGAGAGAATCACCCTCAGGGTTCGTTTGCTTAACCAATTACAGATCTACCTAACTGTTGTTTTGCCTCGCCCACATTGGACTAGTTTCCTTGTCAGAAGGTCATGGGGGACCTTGTTGAAGGAAGGCCTTCCTGGAATCCAGATATGCTCCATCCACGGCATTCCCTGCGTCTACCCAGCTTGTAACTCTATCGAAAAAAGAGATCAGATGAGTCTGGCATGACTTGTTTTTGAGAAATCCATGTTGACTATTAGCAATGACCACATTCCTTTCTAAGAATTTGCAAAACACTTCCTTAATTATCTTTTCCAGAATCTTGCCTGATATTGACGTGAGGTTGCCCAGATGGTAATTGTTTGGGTCGTCCTTTTTTTGCACAGTGGGTTAAACCGCTGAGCTGCTGAACTTGCTCGTCACTTCTTTCCAGGATGAAAAGGAAGCACTGGGGAGAATCACCCTCTGGGTTCGTTCGCTTAACCAATTACAGATCCACCTATCTGTAGTTTTTCCTAGCCCACATTTGACTAGTTTCCTTGACAGAAAGTCATGGGGGACCTTGTTGCAGGTCATACTGAAGTCCAGATACGCTAAATCAATGACTTTTATTTTCTTGTGAGACATCACAAATCATTTCCCAAGCAATGCACTTTATGCTGTCATGCATTAGTCCTTGGTTGAGTGCAGAATTTTATTTAAGAAGGATGAAACCAAATTGTAGAGCAACCTAGAACTTTTTAAAGCAAGGAATGAACAATCGAGCCATTTCCTTGCATTGCAATCAATGGCATTCATGCTGCACTTGTCTCTTTCCACCAGGTTGTGGACTGCACCAAATTTCCACATTCATCCATGCTGTGGCCTTCTTGACTTAGTGACCTTGCTTTCCCGAACGGTAGGATTTATTGTTTCCCTTGAAACATTGCAGGTTGAATGTCAGTTTTCTCTAGGCAAACTTGTGACACTGCAACGATCAAACATATCACTGGGGAGCTGAACAGATTTGTAGACATTAACATTTATGTATTGGATGGCTCAGTTTTGCTTTTAATGGATGGCCGTCATGTACCTAATTTTGCTACCTAGCCATGCGCTATTTCGGCTATGAAAAGACCCATGCATGCCATCTGCTGGTAGACACTTACTATAATTTTTAAGCTAACGTCTCTCTAATACAGAACTTGGTGCTCTTCTTATTCATTCAGGATTTGGCCTGTTTTCAAAAGAGCTGTCCAAAGTTCTGGATTTAGGAATTGCGTTCAGCACTTTGGAAAGCTCCCCTAAACTCAGGATTAAAAACTGGGGTTGATTCATGATCACACATGCCAAGCCACCACTGTCTTTGTGCATATGTAACAGTTACCTAATTTACTCACCCATAGTAAAGGTAAAGATTTTCCCTTGACATTAAAGGCCCTTCCACAGAACAATATAACCCAGAATATCAAGCCAGAAAATCCTACAATATCTGATTTAAACTGGGATGTCTGAGTCCACACTGCCATATATCAAACATAAACCACCTCAAGTCGCCTTCGGGCTGAGAGGGGTGGTATATAAATATGGTAAATAAATGGTAAATAAATAAATATATTCCAGTTCAATGCAGATAATCTGGGATTTTATTTAGCTGTGTGGAAAGGGGCCTAACTCTAGTTGAGTCTGACTCTGTGGGTGGTGCTCATCTCCATTTCTAAGCTGAAGAGCCAGCGTTGTCCATAGATGCCTCCAAGGTCATGTGGCCAGCATGACTACATAGAGCATCGTTAGCTTCCCACCAAAGTGGTACCTATTAATCTACTCATATTTGCATGTTTTCCAACTGCTAGGTTGGCACAAGCTGTGGCTACCAATGGGAGCTCACCCCATCCCACGGATTCAAACTGCTGACCTTCCTGTTAGCAAGTTCTGCAGCTTAGTGGTTTAACCTGCTGCACCACCACATACCTGGCTATATTCACAATTGCAAATTAGGGTGCATCTGCACTGCAGAATTAACCCATATTGGCACCACTTTGACTGCCACGACTCAATGTGGTGGAATAATGGGAGTCATAGTTTTCCAAGGTCTTTAGCTTTCCCTACAAGGGGGGTTCATGCCTCAGCAAACTAGAACTCCATAGCATTCAGCCATGACAGTTAAGTGGTATCAAAGCGCATAAATTTGAAAATGTGGATACAACCTACTCACAATTGTGACACTATTGCTGCAATTGCAAAGGCCACTTTTAGCTCCATGTCCACTCACAGTTTAATGACATATTTACAACTTTAACTCATTTTTTTATTTTTTAAAAAAGAAAGACACAACATTAGCTGAAGACATCCATAGGCAGTGCTGTTGCTCATATACAAAATAAATAAATTAAGCATTTACAAGTTCACAGATTTGCTTTTTTCTTCTTCCAGCGTTTGAACACATGATTTCATACAGTGATCTGGCAAGATTTCAGCACTAAATTTTCCATCGGCCCCAAGAAGAAATGTTTTTAAATGCCTTTCTCACAATGGTTTTGTGTTTAGAGGGATGTGAACTGAATTCTCCAAATGCTTAGCGAAGCTGACTTGGCCTCACGGCACATCTACTACAACTGAAATGCCACATTAAGCTAGTGGTCAACTGGAGGGCCAGTGGGATTTCTTTTCCTCTCTTGTCCATTGGAGGCCTAAATCATAGATTCATAGAGTTGGAAGATACCTCGTGGGCCATCCATTCCAAACATAGTTGATTCAATGAATCTATTCTAGTTCAAGCTAAAATGATTATGACTTGGGTCTTCCTTGCCACCTAAAAATCAATTTTGGGAAGTTTCCCAACTTGATGGAGAAGGTTGGAGACAGAGCAAGAGACAACAAGGAGAATTTTAGAAGACACCTATGAGATCCTAGTCTAAGTGATTACTTTGGTACTATGTCATTGCCAAACCTTAGTCTATCAAAAGGCATTATGGCCTACAGATAAAAATCTGAAGCTACTATTGAATAGCTATTGAATTAGGACCGGAGTCCACAAGCTGAGTTGGCTGTCTTGAAGCTGACCTTGTCTAGCAACCTGTGGGTTAGTCCCAACTAGAACAGACTCATCAATCAATTATTGAATGTTAAGTCAACATATAGACATATCCCTCTAATCATATAGGTCAGTGGTCCTCAACCTGTGGTTCCCCAGGTGTTTTGGCCTACAACTCCCAGAAATCCCACCCAGTTTACCAGCTGTTAGGACTTTTGCAAGTTGAAGGCCAAAACATCTGGGGACCCATAAGCAGAGAACCACTGGTATAGGCCTACTCTAGTCAGGAGTGATAACAATTATAGGTCGTTCTGTAATTCATCTGGCTTCATCTAGATCAGTGGTTCACAACCTGTGGGTCTCCAGATGTTTTGGCTTACAACTCCCAGAAATCTCAGCCAGTTTACCAGCTGTTAGGACTTTTGGAAGGCCAAAACATCTGGGGACCCACAGATTGAGAACCATTGGTATAGGTCTACTCTAGTCAGGAGTGATGACAGGTATAGGTCCTTTTGTAATTCATCTGGCTTCATCTAGACCAGTGGCTCTCAACCTGTGGGTCCTCAGGTGTTGTGGTCTACAACCCCCAGAAATCCCAGTTTACCAGCTGTTAGGATTTCTGGGAGTTGAAGGCCAAAACATCTGGGCACCCACAGGTTGAGAACCACTGGTATAGGTCTACTCTAGTCAGGAGTGATAACAGGTATTGGTCCTTCTGTAATTCATCTGGTTTCATCTAGATCAGTGGTTCTCAACCTGTGGGTCCCCAGGTGTTGTGGTCTACAACTCCCAGAAATTCCAGTTTACCAACTGTTAGGATTTCTGGGAGTTGAAGGCCAAAAACATCTGTAGCCTACAGAGTCCACAAGTTGAGTTGGCTGTCCTGAAGTTGACCTTGTCTAGCAACCTATTAGTTAGCCCCAACTAGAACATATTTAGTCAATCAATCATTGAATGTTGTCAACATATAGACTTATCATTCTAATTGTAGAGGTCAGTGGTTCTCAACCTATGGGTCCCTAGGTGTTTTGGCCTACAACTCCCAGAAATCCCACACAGTTTACCAGCTGTTAGGATTTCTGGGAATTGAAGACCAAAACATCTGGGGACCCACAGGTTGAGAACTATTGATCTAGATGGATTGGAGAATGGTAGACTTGAGGAAGGTTGAGTTGGACTAGATGGCCTTTGTGGTCCCTTCCAACTCTAAGGGCCCTTCCACACAGCCAGAATATCAAGGCAGATCCATAATATCTGCTTTGAACTGGATTATAGGAGTCCACACTGTTCTTCAATGTGGATTTTATGCAGATGGGTTGAATGTTAAGTCAACATATAGACATATCATTCTAAGATTCATGATACAAGGAGCTGCACTAGGTAGAAAGCCTTGTAGATGCCTTCTATTGCATCTACAATGCATCTCTTGTTGGCATTGCAATGGACATCCGAGCTGAACTGGATGTTGCTTTGTCTGCCGATCTATGATGGCTTATGGAAAAGATGGTGACCCATTTTACGGAAAGCAAATGCTATCGCTAGCTTACATTATATTCTAATTCCAGCAAAACAGCTATAAGACCTAACCTAATAAAGGGAGAACTGTGAGGAACAGCAGGCCTCTATAATCTAGAAAAATATAGACACACTTCAGAGATGATGAACACAAGTGTTATGCTGTGGGCTTGCTTTACCCCAGAGTCAAGAGGATTTAGCATAACCGGAGAGCAGCTTAGCACAGCCTTCAGTGACATGTAGGCAGCATCACAATACATTCACATTGTTTCATTGCTTTGAAATGATGCCTTATTGATTATCTCAAAACATTATTTCTGCTTCCTGATGAGCATTGCACACAAATTCATTGACTTCTCAACCAGCATCTTTGGATGTCTCTTATCTCAGTGGACCATCACACATTTGCTAGAATGGAACATCCAACACATAATTTCACTTGAACATGATTATTTGCAAAGAGGTTCTCTTGTGTGTGGTTATTTAACTATTAACAGAGTCTTTTCTAGACTCCAAAAAACCCTATAATCTTTCTAGGACCCACCTTCTCTTTCAGTTACCACTTGTATCAGCAATCGGTTTGGAGAAAACAAAACATTTCACTGAATTACTGAAAAATGGAAATGGATGACTTTCCCCTTTGATTTGAGGAGCCCAATCAATCAGTTTTGGTTAGGACAGTCCAACCGATCAGCGTCCCACGCCTCGGTGGGTTGTTTTTATTCCTTTTCGCCCTTATTACTTCTCGGTGTGAATAGCATCTCCAGCAATGGCTGCCTTTCATTGGGATGCAACGACAAATCGTTGTTTTTGGGGATGTTGTTCAGCCCTTCGCCTTTCTCCGTCTGGATGCGGCACCTTCTCAGGAGAGTCACCAGGATGGCCTTCATCATGACCATGGCGATGAATTTCCCAACACAGCCACGGGGGCCGAACCCAAAGGGCTGGAAATAGCGGTAAGGGACCTGCAGAAAAATGATTGGGGAAACAGACAAACAAAGCAGTCAGAAAAAGTCCAGGTAAACTTTGAAAAAGTCATGAAGAGTGATCCCTATCTTTTCTTTTCTTTTCCTTTTTTTTTTAAAAAAAAATCCTTTCTAGTAGTTTGGCCAAGTCCTTTCAGGGAGAGGGGGTGGGATATAAATAAAGCCTATTATTATTATTATTATTATTATTATTATTATTATTATTCTGACACAAAAGCAAACAAGATCTATATGCTGGATTTTGTATATTATTATTATTATTACTACTATTATTATTATTATTGTTTTGTTGTAGGTTTTTCAGGCTATATGGCCATGTTCTAGAAGCATTCTTTCCTGACATTTCACCTGCATCTATGGCAACCTTTGAGGATGCTTGCAATAGATGTAGGCGAAACGTTAGGAGAGAATGCTTCTAGAACATGGCCATATAGCCTGAAAAACCTACAACAACCCAGTGATTCCAGCCATGAAAGCCTTCGACAATTATTATTATTATTATTATTATTATTATTATTATTATTATTTGGCCCAATTCTATCATTGGTAAAGTTCAAAATGCTCTTTGATTGTAGGTGAACTATAAATTCCAGCACCTACAACTCCCAAATGTCAAGGTCTATTTCCCCCAAACCCCATCAGTGTTTAGGCATATTGAGTATTCATGCCAAATTTGGTCCAGATCCACCATTGTTTGAATCCACAGTGCTCTCTGGATGTAGCTGAACTACAAAACTCAAGGTCAATGCCTACCAAACTCTTCCAGTATTAAATTCCATCAGTGTTCACTTTTGGGCATATTGAGTTTTCATGCCAGGTTTGATCCAGATTCATCATTGTTTGAATCCACAGTGCTCTCTGGATGTAGGTGAACTACAACTCCCAAACTCAAGAACAATGCCCACCAAATATTTTCTGTTGGTCTTGGGAGTTCTGTGTGCCAAGATTGGTTCAATTCCATCATTGGTGGAATTCAAAATGCTCTTTGATTGTAGGTAAACTATAAATCCCAGCAACTACTACTCCCAAATAAATTCCCCACCCCAATCCCACCAGTATATACATTTGGGCATATTGGGTGTTTGTGCCAAATTTGGTCCAGTGATAGAAAATGCTTCCTGCATATCAGATATTTACATTACGATTCAGAACAGTAGCAAAATTACAGTTATGAAGCAGCAATGAAAATAATGTTATGGTTGGGGGTCACCACAACACGAGGAACAGTATTAAGGGGTTGCAGCATTAGGAAGGTTGAGAAACACTGATGTAGTTGCACCCTGCAACTGTAAAATGTTTTGGTCCCCATCCCAAAGCAAAACCCTAACCAAAGGGTCAGTCAACCCATGTACTTCCAGAAGCTACTTGACTCCCATTGTCACTGAACGCTATGCTGAAATGGATGTAAATTGGAGTTATTCACCACCGCGGTCCTAAGCAACACAAACTCACACTCTTTTCAAAGTTTTCAAGCGAGAACTCATTGGGCTTTGGGAAGAACTCGAGACGATGCATGCGCCCGATATTGAGAATGATGTTGGTGCCTTTTTTCACAGGATAGCCGTCAATCACATCGTCTTGCAGAGCTTTGCGCATGACCAAGTCCACGACCGGCTGGTATCTCATGCTCTCCAGAATGAAATTCTCAACCACCTTCAGCTTCGGCATGTCCTCACTTTGGATGTCTCTGTCACCTTCAAGGAATACGGAAGACAAATCACTGGTCACTGGCTTCTGGTATTGCCACCTTTAAGCAAGAGCCAGAATAACATTTCCCCTTTGAAAAATATGTTAACAATTTCCAAAGTTTCCAGTTCAAAGATCAGATAAAACGATTGTGTGGCTGAATGTACCTCTTGTATAACAACAACAACAACAACCACAACAATCCAAAATACTTTCTAATGCTTTCCAAACAATGTTGGTGGGGGGAAAGCTAGTGCAAATTGTTCATCTTCCTAGGCTATAAAATAGTACGTAGTTTGGCCAAGTCCTTTCAGGGAGAGGGGGTGGGATATAAATAACACCTATTATTATTATTATTATTATTATTATTATTATTATTTGAAACACAACAAGATGAGTCCACAGCAGACACTCTGCTGGCTGTTGTATTGGATGTATTATTATTATTATTATTATTATTATTATTATTATTATTATTGGGTTGTTGTAGGTTTTTTGGGCTATATGACCATGTTCTAGAAGCATTCTCTCCTGACGTTTTGCCTGCCTCTATGGCAACCTCTGAGGATGCTTAATAATAATAATAATAATAATAATAATAATAATAATAATAAACCTTTATTTGTACCCCGCTACCATCTCCTGGAGGACTCGGTGCAGCTTACATGAGGCCGAGCCCAAATACATCAGCAAAAACAACAACAACAACAACAACAACAAAATGAAATCAAAACAAAGCAATAAACATTAACAAAACACCATGATGCATTAAAATCTATGGCAGGGCCAAATGTAATAGTTAAAATTAAAAATATACTGGGCATGACCAGGTGAAAAGGGTAGGTATTTGGAGGGGGGGGGGCATGCGGATATCCTGGATCTCTAGTAAAGTGCATTTGGGACGTATTGCTTGGAGTTTCCTCTATCTGGGAAGGCACACTGGAACAACCACGTTTTCAAGCTCCTCCTAAAAATTGCCAACGTTGGGGCGTGCCTGATGTCCTTAGGGAGAGAGTTCCAGAGTCGAGGGGCCACCCCCAAGAAGGCCCTGTCCCTCGTCCCCACCAATCGCGCTTGCGATGCAGGTGGGATCACGAGCAAGGCCTCTCAAGATGATCAAAGAGATCGTGTTCGTAAACAGAGATGCTTGCCAAAGATGCAGGCAAAACGGCAGGAGAGAATGCTTCTAGAACATGGCCATATAGCCCGAAAAACCTACAACAACCCAACTTGGGAACTGTCTGTATTTTTTAAGGATGACTTTGACTATTCCTCTTGATAGACTATTAGGGATATATATCTCATGAGCTTTTGGTATGAGTATGAAAATAGATCAGGCTGTTTTTGCCCCTCTAGCCGATTGGGAAGCCATGTCTTCACTGAGGATTACTTATAGTTTGGACCTGTTCGAATGGAAAGCACAATGAGATGACTTGTGGAATTGCCATTTCCTTACTTATCACGGTTTGTATTTCCTTCATCATGGCCTCTTCAACTTGGGGGTGTTCTGCGATCAGCACCAGCATGAAGAACAGAGTCACTGAAAGGGTATCTGGAGCAGCGATGAGCATCTCCAAAACACACTGGTTGACGTTCTCAGCAGTCAGCTCCCCGCGGCTCTAGAAAGTTGAACCAAGTAGATAGTGACTTACAGATCCAGGTGCCAACAACATTGTGAAGTCAGACTCAACTCAGCAGAGTATCAAACAGATGGGTTTCATCCCTGGACTGCATAAGTCTCCAGTCCTCAATGAGTAGCTAGACTTAGATATAGGGTTAGAGTGAGGGATTCCTTTCCTCACATTCCGATGCATGCTTTTCCCAGAAGAGGCTTTGTCTATACTTTTCTTGCTTGCCACTATCTCCTCCCCCCTTTGAAGATGTAGCATATGTGAGGGACGAGGTACCTTTTATTGCCTGGGTTTTGGCCATGTGGTCACTCTTCATTGCCCTCTCTCTGCCTTATAATATTTATAGCATTTATAATATTATAATGTAATGCAATATAATACTACTAATAATAATATGCACCAGGATTGTGGTGCAGCTGACTGAGTGTCAGCTGCATTAAGATCACTTCTGACCACAAGGTCATGAGTTCGAAGCCAGCCCAGGTCGGAGTGAGCTTCCGACCAATTGTGTAGCTTGTTGTCGACCTTTGAAACCCGAAAGACAGTTGCATCTGTCAAGTAGGAAAATTAGGTACCACCTATGTGTGGGGAGGCTAATTTAACAAAATTTACGAGGCCATTAAAAAAAAGACTCCAGCAAAACATGTGGGGAATGTGGAAGTACTTCATGGACGATGAAAGCGACAGCTCCCCTGGCGGCCAGAAAAAAGTTAAATAGCCTCTGACTGTTTGTCTATATCTGTTGTGTGTCTTTGGCATTGAATGTTTGCCATATTTGTGTACATTGTAATTTGCCCTGAGTCCCCTGTGGTGTGAGAAGGGCGGAATATAAATACTGTAAATAATAGTAAATAAATAATTATAATTATATATTATTTATATTACATGTAATATTACTAATAATATTACAATATAATGGTATGCATTTATTGATTGATTTCAAACATTTTTACCCCTCCCCTCTCAGGGAGGGGGACTCAGGGCAGCTTATATCCGGCACAATTTGATGCCATTACATATAAATAATACATACAGTAACACATATAAAAGCATATTAAAAAAATTAGTTTTAAAATAAAAAGTACATCAATGAAAATGCAATAATACTGACTGTCTAGCCTTATGTAGAAACAAATTCAGCGAGCACAGCACAATTGGAAACCTGTCCATAGTCAATTTTTCGTAACATTATCATTATTACTATTGTCAATTGTCTGCCAGCTACCCAAAGGCCGGGTCCCATAACCACATTTTCAGTTTCCTCCTGAAGACGAGGAGGGATGTTATGGACTTGATTTCACTGGGGAGCGAGTTCCACAGGCGAAGGGCCACCACTGAGAAGGCCTTGTCCCTCATCCCCACCAAGCGTGTTTGTGCTAAAGGCAGGGCCAAAAGCAGGGTCTCTCCAGAAGATCTTAAATTTCAAGGTGGGACGTAGAGACAGATACGTTTGGACAGGTAAACTGGGCCAGAGCAGTATAGGGCTTTGTAGGTCAAAACCAGCACTTTGAATTGTGCTCAGAACTGGACCGGCAGCTAGTAGGGCTGACATAACAGAGGGGTGGTATGCTCTCTTAGTGGCACTCCAGTGAGTAGTCTAGCTGCCACCCCTTGGACTAGTTGAAGTTTCCGAGCAGTCTTCAAAGGCAGCCCCACATAGAGTGCATTGCAGTAATCTATTTGGGATGTAACCAAAGTGTGGACCACCGTGGCCAGATCAGGCTTCCCAAAGTATGGGCACAGCTGGTGCACAAGTTTTAATTGTGCAGAAGCTCTCCCGGCCACCGCCGGGATAGTACAATATTTTATTAATATTAATATTTAATACTGATATTGTACTATGCTAATAATATAATATATTGTATGTATGTATATCTTCTAAGCTGCTCTGAGTCCCCTTTGGGGTGAGAACGGTGGCATATAAATGTTGTAAATAAATAAACAAATAAACAAATAAATAAATTAGTCTCCCTTCCAGTAAGGACGTATTTTGCCTATCTCCAGGCAAAATGTAGCCGCATGGATACTTTTGATATTTTATCTTTGTACCTTCCTTAGAAGATGAGCTTCGTACTTAGCTCCAAAACCTTTTCTATCTAGAATGGATTTCTTTTTTTACTTCAATAAACATTTTGAACCTAAAGTGGTGACTCTGCAAACCTGTACCATCCTGTTGAAGGGAAGCTAATCCTGACTCGCCACAGGTAAGTTTCTGCTGGTTATGAAGTTTGCTTCTAGCCTCTGCTATATTTATGGTGAGATCAACCCAAGTGAGGGTTATTTTGAGCCTAATAGTTCTGATTCCCAACAAAGGGTTATGGGCCCAGTATGCTTCCACTGAGCAACACAAAGTGTGGGGAAAATCGAGCCAGAATCTGAGACAGTTATACGTTATTCCATCAGATAACAGATAGACAGATGTATTTTCAGTTAAGAAACCATGAACAAATAGAGCAATCTATTTGTTCAGTGATCAGAAGAGATCATAACTCTTGTGATCAGACACTTCTTTTGCAAACATCTTTGCACTGGGACTGTGGCATGGCTGACTGGGAGTCAGCTGCATTAAGATCACTACTGACCAAAAGGTCATGAGTCTGGGTCGGAGTGAGCTTCCAACCAATTTGTGTAGTTTGCTGTCGACCTTTGCAGCCTGAAAGACAGTTGCGTCTCTCAAGTAGGAAATTTAGGTACCGCTTATGTGGGGAGGCTAAATTACGAAGCCATAAAAATCTCCAACAAGCATGCAAAGAATGAGAAAGTACTTCATTGGTTGTCGAAGGCTTTCATGGCCAGAATCACTGGGATGCTTGCCATAGATGCAGGCGAAACATCAGGAGAGAATGCCTCTAGACCATGGCCATATAGCCTGAAAAAAACCCTACAACAACCCAGTACTTCATTGGTGTCACAAATGGAGGGTGAAGCGACAGCTCCCCTGGTGGCCAGAATACCCTCATGAAAAAGCTGGAATGTTAAATAGCCTCTGTGTGTCTGTCTATATATGGTGTCTGTCTATGGCAGTAGTTCTCAACCTTTCTAACACCGGGACTCCTAAATATGGTTCCTCATGTTGTGGTGACCCCCAACCTCGCCTGCCTTGGATGGCAAGAGCATGAGGCAAGTGAGGCAGGATTTGCACGAGGCCAGGCCTCGCGCGGAGGACCCTTCGCTGGATGACTAGAGTGTGAGGCGGGCTTTGCACGAGGCCAGGCCTCACGTGAAGGAGCCCTCACCTGGCCCACGCCCTTGGGGTGGGGCCAATGGAGGTGGCCTCGCGACCCCTCCGAAATGGCCAGGCGACCCCCTGGGGGCCGTGACCCCCAGGTTGAGAACCACTGGTCTATGGCATTGAATGTTTGCCATGTATATGTACATATGTACATTGTAATCCGCCTGTGGGGTGAGAAGGGTGGAATATAAATACTGCAAATAAATACATAAATAAATTCAATCCCTGGTTTCTTTAGTTAAGTGATTTTGAAAGAGCTTTGCTTGAGACTTGGAGAACTTCCATTGGTCAAAAGCAACCCAGATGAGCTAGTTTTCAAAAATAAAGCAACTTCGTAGAAGAGCGGCAAATTGACTTTCCCCTTCTTTCAACAATCCTTGGAGAACAGCAATAATAAATAATAATAAAACTTTATTTGTACCCCGCTACCATCTCCCCAAGCGACTCGGTGCGGCTTACATGAGGCCAAGCCCACAATACATCAGTAAAAACAATAACAACAGTAATACAAAACAACAAAATAAAACTCATAACAGAAAATAGCAAGAGATCAAACTGTGGTGCAGAAATGGGAAAGATTACCTGTGCAAAAATCAACTGGGATGCAAAATCCATATGGTCCTCCAGTTTCTCAATCGTGGAAAGCTTTTGTCGTTTCTGCTCTATTAGGTCCTCAATGGCTTCTTTCAGATCATTCCTAGAACAGAAGGGGTTTCATTGTCACTAAGATCTGTGATGTTTTCCTGTCGAGTTTCCATTATGTATTGGGAGTCGGAGCTATTACAATTAAAAGGCCCTTTAGTTTTGAGTTGAAAGAGGTGGCAACATTTTGCCACCTCTTTCACCCCAAACTTCTCTGTCATCTTTGAGCTTGGCTCAAGTCTTCCTCTTGTAGCTGATGCAAGAAAGGGAATGGAGCCCCCTAATAAACAATGGTCTAGCTTGCATTGATCCATATCAATAATTTGTTTTAACAATTTGATTTCCATCCAGAATGGGTGGGATATAAATGAAATTGTAATAATAATAATAATAATAATAATAATAATAATAATAATAATTTAAGGTGAACGGGTCTTAATGATCCTTTCAAAATATATAATATATAAATTAATATATAATACTAATATTATATATTAATTTATAGTGGGCCCCCTCGTGGCACAGTGGGTTAAACCGCTGAGCTGCTGAATTTTCCAACCAGAAAGTTGGGAGTTCAAATCTGGGGAGCAGAGTGAGCTCTGGCTGTTAGCCCCAGCTCCTGCCAACCTAGTAGTTCGAAAACATGCAAATGTGAGTAGATCAATAGGTAACGCTCTGGTGGGAAGATAATGGCACTCCATGCAGTCATGCTAGCCATGCAACCTTGGAGGTGTCTATGGACAACGCCAGCTCTTCGGCTTAGAAATGGAGATGAGCACCACCCCACAGTCAGACACAACTAGATTTAATGTCAGGGGAAATCTTCACTTTTACCTTTATATTATATATATATATATAACATAAATTACTTTTACCTTTATATTATATATATATATATATATATATATAACATAAATTAATATATAAACTCCAGCAAAGGATCACCGCCTTGTCGGGGCGCTGGAGCTTGAGCACCTCAATGATGTCATGAGCGAAACCGTGAAGGGCCACCCAAGACGGGACGGTTGTGGCAGAGAGGTCAGACCAAGCGTGATCCCTGGGGAAGGCAATGGCAAACCACTCTAGTATCCTTGCCAAGAAAACTAAATGGACCAGTACAACCAGAGATATGTCGGTATGCCATTGGAAGATGGGACTCCCAGGTCGGAAGATGGCCAAAATGCTACTGGGGAGGAGCAGAGGATAAGTTCAACTAGCCCCAGATGTGAAGACGCAGCTAGCTCAAAGCCGAAAGGAAGGCTAGCGGCCGACGGTACTGGAGGTGAACGACGAATCCGATGCTCTAAAGATCAACACACCATAGGAACCTGGAATGTAAGATCTATGAGCCAGGGCAAATTGGATGTTGTTATTGGCGAGATGTCAAGACTAAAGATAGACATTCTGGGGGTCATCGAACTGAAGTGGACTGGAATGGGCCACTTCACATCAGATGACCACCAGATCTACTACTGCGGACAAGAGGAACATCGAAGAAATGGAGTAGCCTTCATAATTAATAAGAAATTCGCTAAAGCGGTGCTTGGATACAACCCAAAAAATGACAGAATGATCTCAATTCGAGTGCAAGGAAAGCCTTTCAGCATTACAGTGATCCAAATATACGCCCCAACCACAGCTGCTGAAGAAGCAGAAGTAGATCAGTTCTATGAGGATCTGCAGGACCTACTGGATAATACACCAAAAAGAGACATTATTTTCATTACAGGAGACTGGAATGCTAAGGTGGGAAGTCAAATGACAACTGGGATCACAGGCAAGCATGGTCTGGGAGAACAAAATGAAGCGGGACGCAGGCTGATAGAATTTTGCCAGGAAAACTCGCTGTGTATAATGAATACTCTCTTCCAACAACCTAAAAGACGGCTTTACACCTGGACCTCACCAGACAGTCAACACCGAAATCAGATTGACTACATCCTTTGCAGCCAAAGGTGGCGGACATCCATCCAGTCGGTGAAAACAAGACCTGGGGCTGACTGTAGCTCAGATCACGAACTTCTTATTGCCCAATTTAGAATCAAACTAAAGAGATCAGGGAAAATACACAGACCAGTTAGATATGATCTCACTAACATTCCTAGCGAATATACAGTGGAAGTGAAGAACAGATTTGAAGGACTAGATTTAGTAAACAGAGTCCCAGAAGAACTATGGACAGAAGTCCGAGACATTGTTCAGAAGGCGGCAACAAAGTACGTCCCAAAGAAAAAGAAAACCAAGAAGGCAAAATGGTTGTCTGCTGAGACACTGGAAGTAGCCCAAGAAAGGAGGAAAGCAAAAGGAAACAGGGATAAGGGGAGATATGCCCAGTTAAATGCGCAATTCCAGAGGTTAGCCAGAAGAGATAAGGAACTATTTTTAAATAGGCAATGCATGGAAGTGGAAGAAGACAACAGAATAGGAAGGACAAGAGACCTCTTCCAGAAAATTAGAAACATTGGAGGTAAATTTCAGGCAAAAATTGGTATGATAAGAAACAAAGATGGCAGGGACCTAACAGAAGCTGAAGAGATCAAGAGAAGGTGGCAAGACTATACAGAAGATCTGTATAGGAAGGATAATAATATTGAGGATAGTTTTGACGGTGTGGTGAATGAATTAGAACCAGACATCCTGAGGAGTAAGGTTGAATGGGCCTTAAGAAGCATTGCTAACAACAAGGCAGCAGGAGATGACGGGATCCCAGCTGAACTGTTTAAAATCTTAAAAGATGATGCTGTCAAGGTGATGCATGCCATTTGCCAGCTAATATGGAAAACACAAGAATGGCCATCAGACTGGAAAAAATCAACTTATATCCCCATACCAAAAAAGGGAAATGCGAAAGACTGCTCAAACTTCCGTACAGTGGCCCTTATTTCTCATGCCAGTAAGGTAATGCTCAAGATCCTGCAAGGAAGACTCCAGCAATACATGGGACGAGAGTTGCCAGATGTTCAAGCTGGGTTTAGAAAAGGCAGAGGAACGAGAGACCAGATTGCCAATATCCGCTGGATAATGGAGAAAGGCAGGGAGTTTCAGAAAAACATCTATTTCTGCTTCATTGACTATTCTAAAGCCTTTGACTGTGTGGATCATAATAAATTGTGGCAAGTTCTTAGTGGGATGGGCATCCCAAGCCACCTTGTCTCTCTCCTGAGGAATCTGTACAAGGACCAAGTAGCAACAGTAAGAACTGACCACAGAACAACAGACTGGTTCAAGATTGGGAAAGGCGTACGGCAAGGCTGCATACTCTCACCCAACCTTTTTAACTTGTATGCAGAACACATCATGCGATGTGCGGGGCTTGATGAATGCAAAGCTGGGGTGAAAATTGCTGGAAGAAACATTAACAACCTCAGATATGCAGATGACACCACTCTGATGGCCGAAAGCGAGGAGGAGCTGAGGAGCCTTCTAATCAAGGTGAAAGAAGAAAGCGCAAAAGCCGGGTTGCAGCTAAACGTCAAAAAAACCAAGATTATGGCAACAAGAATGATTGACAACTGGGAAATAGAAGGAGAAACCGTGGAGGCCGTGACAGACTTTGTATTTCTAGGGGCAAAGATTACTGCAGATGCAGACTGTAGCCAGGAAATCAGAAGACGCTTACTTCTTGGGAGGAGAGCAATGTCCAGTCTCGATAAAATAGTGAAGAGTAGAGACATCAGACTGGCAACAAAGATCCGCCTAGTCAAAGCCATGGTATTCCCTGTAGTCACCTACGGATGTGAGAGCTGGACCTTAGGGAAGGCTGAGCGAAGGAAGAGAGATGCTTTTGAGCTGTGGTGTTGGAGGAAAGTTCTTGGACTGCGAGAAGATCCAACCAGTCCATCCTCCAGGAAATAAAGCCCGACTGCTCACTGGAGGGAAGGAGACTAGAGACAAAGTTGAAGTACTTTGGCCACATCATGAGGAGACAGGAAAGCCTAGAGAAGACAATTATGCTGGGGAAAGTGGAAGGCAAAAGGAAGAGGGGCCGACCAAGGGCAAGATGGATGGATGGCATCCTTGAAGTGACTGGACTGACCTTGAAGGAGCTGGGGGTGGTGACGGCAGACAGGGAGCTCTGGCGTGGGCTGGTCCATGAGGTCATGAAGAGTCGGAGACGACTGAACGAATGAACAACAATATATAATACTAATATATGCTAATAATATAATATTATTATAATATTATAATGCAATAAATATAATACTAATAATAATACAATATAGTGGTTGCATATATTGCATTATTATTAATATTATATTATATTGTATTGCATTATAATACAATATAATTAATCTATTATAAGGACTGAAGACCGATAGGTCGGAGGTTTGAATCCGGGGAGAGCGTGGATGAGCTCCCTCTGTTAGTTCCAGCTCTCCATGTGGGGACATGAGAAAGGCCTCCCACAAGGGCAGTAAAACATCAAAACATCCAGGTGTCCCCTGGGCAATGTTGTTGCAGACAGCCAATTCTCTCACACCAGAAGCGACTTGCAGTTTCTCAAGTCGCTCCTGACATGACAAAAAAGTGGTTGTATATTATATATTGCATGTGATATTGCAGTGAGGTGTTGTGGTACAATGTAGTAATGTATTGTACTGCTGTTGTGCTGTGCTGGTAATGTAATGTATTGTATAGCTATATAATAGTGATGGTGATGTTATGGTGTAATGCAGTGAAGTATTAATAGTAGTGCAATATAATATATAATAATAATATAATGGTGTGATGGTGCTAATGTATTTAATGTTATTACTACTGATAATATATAATAACATATAATGATATACTGCTTTATTGTTGTATATTCGTATATCTGAAGTTGTAATGATTTTGATTGTGAGCTGCTTTGAGTCTCCGTATGGAGAGATAAAGTGGGATATAAATAAATAAATATATACACAGGAATACTTCGAATTACAAGAGAGATAAAAGATAAGATTGATAAATATTCCATCAGTGCTGCCTCTGGAAAATCCTGCAAATCACTTGGGAAGACAGGGGGACAAACGTCAAGGTGCTGGAAGAAGCAAAGACCACCAGCATTGAAGCAATGGTCCTCCGCCATCAGCTCTGCTGGACCGGCCACGTCCGGATGCCCGATCACAGCCTCCCAAAGCATTTGCTCTATTCCAAACTCAAGAATGGAAAACGGAATGAGATTTAAAGATGGGCTCAAAGCCAAACTTAAAAACTCTAGCATAGACACCAAGAACTGGGAAGCCCTGGCTCTTGAGCACTCCAGTTGGAGGTCAGCTGTGACCAGCAGTGCTGCAGAATTTGAAGAGGCACGAATGGAGGGCGAAAGAGAGAAACGTGCCAAGAGGAAGGCGTGTCACGTCAACCCTGACCAGGACCACCTTCCACCTGGAAACCGATGCCCTCACTGCGGGAGAACATGCAGATCAAGAATAGGGCTCCACAGTCACTACACTTGGAGGATACTACTCTTGGAAGACCATCATCCTCGGACTACAAGGGATCGCCTAAGTAAGTAAGTAAGTAAGATTCATAAACATTACATTGGCTTGAACCTTATCATTAAAAATACAGACTCATTAAATCAATTGTTAAATGGTGAACCAGAACGTAAGAGATTGTTTAGATCTTGAGTCTCAAACTCCTGCCTGCCTTTGTTGCCAGATTTCAATAATTCTGGCAGCACACGTTTACATCAATGGAAAGAGCTGTCATTTCCCTGCCTTCTCTGCTCAATAGCATCACTTATAATAGCAAACGTCTCGCCAGCTCTACTTACGCAGACTTTTCATATTTCTTGTACAGCCAGGAAAACTTAAAGAAGATATCAGGTTTCAGCAGAAGGGCCTGCCAGGCATCAAAGTAATTCTGGATCTTAAGTACAATGGCGCTTTCTGGAATTGGATATGGGTAAAAATACAAGGGAAATAGGCAGGGTTAGAGACTTGCACAAGGCACCCCTTTTGCTTCCTTCTCTCCTTTCCTTTCTTCTTTCTTTTTATTTCCATTCATATCCCTCTTTTAACCAGATTAGCTCAAAGGAGAACACAAAAGTCTCTCTTTTACAAATTAGTTTAGTTCAGAACAGAATGGGCAGACTAGACAGTGTTTCTCAACCTTCCTCATGCTGCGACCCCTTAATATAATTCCTCATGTTGTGGTGACCCCCAACCATAAAATTATTTTCCTTGCAACTTCATAACTATCATTTTGCTACTGTTATCAATCGTAATATAAAGATCTGAAATGCAGGATGTATTTTCATTTACTGGACCAAATTTGGCACAAATACCCGATATGCCCAAATTTGAATACTGGTGGGGTTGGGGGGGGGGGGTTGATTTTGTCATTTGGGAGTTGTAGTTGCTGGGATTTATAATTCACCTGCAATCAAAGGGCATTTTGAACTCCACCAACGATGGAATTGGGCAAAACTTGGCACACAGAACTCCCATGGCCAACAGAAAATGCTAGAAGGGATGACAAAGGAGGGGAAAATCCTTTGGCCTTAATTCTCTCTGTAGGATGCTACTAAGAGATGTCAGAATCTTATTTTTACTGCTCCATTTACCCCAGTTTAAGCGTGTATCTACTATACGAAACACCAGCTGTTTTTTGTTGAGTTGCAGTGAGCACTTCTGCTTACAGGAGGAATCTCTTCTAGCTTCTCTTCTAGCATTAATTGTGTTGGTTTCCTTTGCAGGTTTCACTAGTTTGTCCTTAGCTGTATGTTTTGCTAAAGGAAGGTCCTGCCAAGACTTAGTCTGGCTCATTAGGGATTGTAACAAAGTCTTTATTTCAAATATTTGCCCATTTATGTCTCTTATTATTTCACAATTAGCTGGCATTGATTCTTGAGATGGAAATACATGTGGGGAAAGCAACTCAAAACAACTAGAGTTAGTTTTCTTATCATAGCTATTTGTCCCTGGGGGAGTTGCCGCGTGGCCGTTTTCCTTCGCTGTCTCAGGGTAATCTTCCGTCAGTATAGAGAATCTATTTTCTGTTGGTATTGGAGCTAAAACCAGGGGTGGGGGGGCGGGGGGGAGGTGAGTTTGGAACTTACATTATCAGTTGAAGAGGAGGATATGTGTTTATTTGTATTTATATTTGCATTCCTTGGTGTTGATTTATATTTGTATTTGCATTCCTTGGGTTCAAAGAGAGGGATAGTCTTCGGCTTCTCTCTCCCCCCATTGTGCTGCTCAGGTTTCCTCTTGGTCACTCTCAAGGCAGTTTCAAATCGAATACTATTAAGATTACCTTGTATTCATGTATGGTTTTATTGTACGTATGGGCAAGTGTGTATGTTTTGTATGTTCTATATGTTTTGATATGGTCAAAACTGACTAATCAATAAAGAATTGTATTGTATTGTACTAGAAGGGTTTCATGGGCATTGACCTTGAGTTTGGGAGTTGTAGTTCGCCTACATACAGAGAGCACTGTGGACTCAAACAATGATGGATCTGGACCGAATACTCAATATGCCCAAATGTGAACACTGGTGGAGTTTGGGAAAAACAGACCTTGATATTTTGGGATGTATAGTTCACCTGCAATCAAAGAGCATTCTGAACCCCACCAATGATAGAATTGGGCCAGACTTCCCATATACAACCCCCATGACTAACAGAAAATACTGTGCTTTCTGATGGTCTTTAGCAGGGGTCCTCAAACTAAGGCCCGGGGGCCGGATACAGCCCTCCAAGGTAATTTACCCAGCCCTTGCTCAGGATCAAGTTTAGTCTGAAACGACTTGAATGCACACAATAACAACAACCCTACCTCATCGGCCAAAAGCAGACCCACACTTCCCACTGAAATACTATTGTTTATATTTGTTAAAATTGTTCTTCATTTTAATTATTGTATTGTTTTTAACTGTTTTTTTGCACTACAAATAAGATATGTGCAGTGTGCATAGGAATTCATTCATGTTTCTTTCGAATTATAATCTGGCCCTTCAACAGTTTGAGGGACTGTGACCTGGCCCTCTGATTAAAAAGTTTGAGGACCCCTGGTCTTTAGTAACCCCTCTGACGCTCCCTCGTGACCCCTCCAGGGGTCCTGACCCCCAGGTTGAGAACCACTGGCCTAGAGGAAGATCTCTGTTAAGTAGAAGCCATTGGCACACAATTATAACAGGTTGGTACCATGTCAACTGCCATGGTTCCATCCTATGGAACTCTGGGATTTATAGTTGCAAATGGGATACATACAGTAGAGAAGCATTTCCATCTGTTTCCCTGATGGGAGTTCAACATTCATTCAGAGCCAATGATAGAACAAGGCTCCTAAAAAACTAATTCTAACCAAAATATTCCTGGCTAACAAAGCAATTTGTCATCTTCCAAGTCAAATTGGATGGAAGACATAGTCCAAAAGGTTAGGCAGTGTAGAAACAAACTCCTGAAATGTGCATTCAAGTAAGTTAGTAACAAGAGGGGGCAGCTACACTGTAGAATTAATGCAGTTTGATGCCACTTTAACTGCTGTGGCTCAGGGCTAAGGATTTCTGGGAGCTGTAATTTTATAAGGTCTTCCACCTTCTTTTCCATCCTCACCAAACTATAACTCCCAGCATTCCATAGCATTGAGCCATGACTATATTTATTTATCTGCTTTGGGCACGCTGCATGTATATATGAAATCCAAGAAAATCATTTTCCTACCATCGAGAGGAATGCCAAGAAAAAGCCTGTTTGAAGTGTCCAGCATGATCCGCCTCATAAGATTCAGGCTGTTGATGTAGCCACACTTGGTGGTCACCTCTTCCAGCTTGTCCATGTGTTCAATGGTGGATTCCACACAAATGGAGATCATCCTCACAAGACCTGGGCCCGACAGAGCTGGAATTTCACAAAGACCATTATAAACATAGAAGCAAGAGTGAGAATTGTGTGAATTGTGCCCCAGGCTTGTGTTGACTTCTTTCTTAACATAAGGAATGTTGTAAACATTTCTGTTATCACTGCCCCTGTTGTTGACACAGTTTACTTTGGCAAGTCTCATATGCAACTTTTAATTATAGTCCCAGCAAGCAGGTAGTTAGTCACTGCAGGCCTTGGTCTTTTGGAATTGGTGTCTCCAAAATTATTAACTCCACGCATTCATTCTTCCTGTCAACTCCATTCATTCCTCATTTATCAAATCAGCATACTGAATTTTTCAATGCTATGGAAGTTGTATTTTTGGGAAGGTGCCATTAGGCCGAAAAAGCAAACGACCTTGTACGATTGTTCCAAAGCACTGAAACATGGTAGTTCAAGTGATGTTAAACTGCATTCATTCTACAGTGTAGATACACACCAGGTCAAATGGTATTTTAATAGCACGGACTCTCTGGAACAGGCATGAGCAAACTTCAGCCTTCCAAGTGTTTTGGACTACAACTCCCACAATTCCTAATAGCTTCAGGCCCTTTCCTTTTCCTTTCCCCCCTCAGCTGCGTAAGCGAAGAGACCTGGGACTGTTAGGAATTGCAAATGGGATACACACAGGAAGGGACCTGAGGTTGTTAGGAATTGTGGGAGTTGTAGTCCAAAACACCTGGAAGGCTGAAGTTTGCCCACACCTGTTCTAGAAGGATTTACCCCAGCAACTCTATATCACACATGGGCAAACTTTAGCCTTCCAGGTGTTTTGCACTACAACTCCCACAATTCCTAACAGCCAGTAGGCTAGGTTCTTGTGGGTTTTTTTGGGCTATATGGCCATGTTCTAGAGGCATTTCTCCTGACGTTTCGCCTGCATCTATGGCAAGCATCCTCAGAGGTAGTGAGGGTGCTTGCCATAGATGCAGGCAAAACGTCAGGAGAAATGCCTCTAGAACATGGCCCTATAGCCCGAAAAAACCCACAAGAACCTAGTGATTCCACCATGAAAGCCTTCAACAAGCCAGTAGGCTGTTAGGAATTGTGGGAGTTGTAGTGCAAAACACCTGGAAGGCTGAAGTTTGCCCATGCCTGCTCTATATTGTCATGAGATACTCTTATTATAATGGGACGTATTTGGAAATAGCTTGGCTCCGATTGACCCAATTTTCAAGCACTGTGGACAGTCACAAATTGGTTCCATCCATTTGCAAAAGTCCCAGTTGATTCTCAATTGTATTATTTTCCAGTAATGGAGGACTGGGGGGACTGGGAGCTAAACTGAGGCCTCGAGGTATAGTGAAGAGACGGCTGGTGATTTCCTTGGCCCATCTACACTACCACATAATGCAGTTTAACTGTATTGAACAGAGTAATTTAATCCAACTCACTGCATCATAGTATAGATGGAGCCCATGTCAGTGGGGAAATGGATCCACTTCCAAGGTTTGGATTGCTACAGAGGAGCTATCCAAAGTGCTGGATCTTATTTGCAGGAAATGTTTCACCTCCAAAGAGCACTACTTTTAATGTGTTGTCGAAGGCTTTCATGACCGGAATCACTGGGTTGCTGTGAGTTTTCTGGGCTGTACGGCCATGTTCCAGAAGCATTCTCTTCTGACGTTTCACCCACATCTATGGCAGGCATCTTCAGAGGTGGTGAGGTCTGTTGGAAACTGGGCAAATGAGGTTTATATATCTGTGGACTGTCCAGGGTGGGAGAAAGAACTCTTGTCTGTTTGAGGCAAGTGTGAATGTTGCAATTTTCCACCTTGATTAGCATTGAATGGCCTTGCAGCTTCAAAGCCTGGCTGCTTCCTGCCTGGGGAATACTTTGCTGGGAGGGTCAGCTAACACCTCCCAACATAGGATTCCCCTCAGGCAGCAGTCAGCCAGGGTTTGAAGCTACATGTGTGAATGTTGCAATCGGCCACCATTGGTCAGCCAGAGAAGTCAGCCATAGCAGAGCACTTGCTGAACCAACCTGGACACAGCATATTATTTGAGAACACACAGATGCTGGACCACTCTCACAACCACCATGTCAGGCTACACAGAGAAGCCATTGAAATCCACAAGCATGTGGACAATTTCAGCAGAAAGGAGAAAAACGTGAAAATGAACAAGATCTGGCTACCATTACTAAAAAAACCTCTGAAATCAGGACAGTAAATAAAGAGCAACACTCAAATATCAGGTCAATTACAGACAAGAAACAATCAGGGCCAATTAACACTTCCCAACAAAGGATTCTGTGTTCTGCATTTCTGTGTTCTCAAATAATATGCTGTGTCCAGGTTGATTCAGCTAGTGCTCTGCTATGGCTGACTTCTCTAGCTGACCAGTGGTGGCCAATTGCAACATTCACACTTGTAGCTTCAAAGCCTGGCTGATTGCTGCCTGGGGGATCCTATGTTGGGAGGTTAGCCGACTCTCCCAACAAAGGATTTCCCAGGCAGGAAGCAGCCAGGCTTTGAAGCTGAAAGGATATTCAATGCTAATCAAGGTGGCCAATTTCAACATTCACACCTGCCTAGAACAGACAAGAGTTCTTTCTCCCACTCTGGACATTATTCCACAGATATATAAACCCCACTTGCTTGGTTTCCAACAGACCTCACAACCTCTGAGGATGGCTGCCATAGATGTGGGTGAAACGTCAGGAGAGAATGCTTCTGGAGCATGGCCTTACCGCCCAGAAAAATCACAGCAACCCAGCTTCTAGATTAAAACCTGTTGTCGATTCACTGCTGTATAACACAAGGGTCTCCAAGTGGCCATATAGTCTCACTGTGTTTTACTTGATGCGCATGGGATAGAACAGTGTTTCTCAACCTTCCTTATGCCGTGACCCCTTAATACAGTTCCTCATGTTGTACTGACCTCCAAACATAAAATTAACTATAATTTTGCTACTGTTATGAATCGTCATGTAAATCTCTGAGATGCAGGATGTATTTTCATTCACTGGACCAAATTTGGTACATATACCCGATATGCTCAAATTTGAATACTGGTGAGTTTGGGAGGGGATTGATTTTGTCATTTGGAAGTTGTAGTTGCTGGGATTTATAGTTCACCTGCAATCAAAGAGCATTCTGAGCTCCACCGACAATGGAATTGAACCAAACTTGGCACACAGAACTCTTATGACCAAGAAAAAATACTGGAAGGGTTTGGTGGGCATTGGCCTTGAGTTTTGGAGTTGTAGTTCACCTACATCCAGAGAGCATTGTGGACTCAAACAATAATAGATCTGGACCAAACTTGACATGGATACTCAATATGCTCAAATGTGGATACTGGTGGAGTTTGGGGAAAATAGACCTTGATATTTGGGAGCTATAGTTGCTGGGATTTATAGTTCCTCTACAATCAAAGAGCATTCTGTACCCCACCAATGATAGAATTGGGCCAAACTTCCCACACAGAACCCCCATGACCAACAGAAAATACTGTCTTTTCCGATGGTCTTTGGTAACCCCTCTGACACCTCATCGCGACCCCCCAAGGGGTCCCGACCTCCAGGTTGAGAAACACTGGGATAGAATATCTGAATTCTATCGCTTTTGAGCATTTTCAGAAGTCACTTTGAACACCAGAGGGAGCAGCCCAATAGGCAGTGGCATGGTTTTTCGAGCTATTTTTGTTCTTTTGACATGTAGCTTTGACAACTACGCATCCTTCTAGCACATGAACAAAAGCAGAAAAAAGGCTTTAGGCCACAATAGGCCACCCTTTACTTTACCTTTGGTGAAAAAGGGTCGGATCTCTTTCCAGAGCGTAGGGTTATTATTAAATATGATGCCGTTTTCATGCATTCCAATGCACTTCAAGCCAGGCTTGCTTCCGAATCTTGATATGTAGTGTCCGTGCTTCATGATGTGGAACATGCTTGACGATCTGATGAAAGGGGTGAAAAGGCACACGGCACCAACAGATTTCATTAGCCAACTTTCAGGATTAAATTAAAAACTTCCCCCAAAAAAACCTTAACCAGGAATTTCCTTCAGAGGGAGCTAGAAGCTAAAAAATGCTTCAGTGATTGGATCAGTGGCACATAAATCGAAGCAGATTAAGTTGTCAAGCAACTGTTAATCGGGATTTCACAACACAGAAAAACATTATTTCCTTTATGATAACACCCAGAAGCATCCAACCCACACAGGTGGGGGATTATGGGAGCTGTAATCCACTAAAGGAAGTTTCCTAAACCCTGGTTTTGCCATGAAAGAAACACCAGGAATCATCAGGTGAAGACTTCTATGCTATGGAGCTGAATCTAGCCATTTCCGCTCCCTTGGAAGCCACCTCTCCACAAAAGTCAACACTGACCCTGAAATTCAACACAGCCTGAGCTCTGTGAGTGCAGCATTCTTCTGAATGAAGCAGAGAGTGTTTGAGGACTGGGACATCCATAAGGATACCATATAAAGCTATTGCACTCCCAACCTTGCTATACGCCTGCGAGATGTGGACTATCTACAGATGTCACGTGCAACTCCTGGAACGATTCCATCAATGCTGCAAAATCCTGCAAATCTCTTGGGAAGACAAGCGGACAAATGTCAGCATGCTGGAAGAAGCAAAGAACACCAGCATAGAAGTGATGCTCCTCTGCCATCAACTCCGCTGGACTGGCCATGTTGTCCAGATGCCTGACCACCGTCTCCCAAAGCAGTTGCTCTACTCCGAAATCAAGAATGGAAAACGGAATGTTGGAGGACAGGAAAAGAGATTTAAAAAAGAGATCAAAGCCAACCTTAAAAACTGTGGCATAGACACTGAGAACTGGGAAGCCCTGGCCCTTGAGTGCTGCAGCTGGAGGTCAGCTGTGATCAGCAGTGCTGTAGAATTTGAAGAAGCTTGAATGGAGGGTGAAAGAGAGAAATGTGCCAAGAGGAAGGCGCATCAAATCAACCCTGACCAGGACCGCCTTCCACCTGGAAACCGATGCCCTCAATGTGGGAGAAGATGCAGGTCAAGAATAGGGCTCCACAGTCACCTACAAACCCACCGCCAGGATACTACACTCGGAGGACCATCATCCTCAGATAATTGGGGATCGCCTAAGTATAAGTAAAAAAGTCTAGCCACATTTTGGGAACAGACAAAGTGTCACAAATAGAGAGTTGGAAAGTTTCCAATGGAAAGAGCACAATGAAGCAATAATCTTAGCCTGGATCGACACTGAAAATAATAATCCTGTTTGAACTGTGTTATATTGTCAGTGAAGACCAGGCATGGGCAAACTTTGGCCCTCCAGGTGTTTTGGACTTCAACTCCCACAATTCCTAACAGCCTGCCAGCTGTTAGGAATTGTGGGAGTTGAAGTCCAAAACACCTGGAGGGCCAAAGTTTGCCCATGCCAGATGTAGACTCATGTGCAACTCAATGCAATCCAAATTGCATGATACTTTGGATCAAAAGTTCGAACTGCATTATTTGGCAGTGTAGATTGAAATAATGAGAGTAGACGGACTGGAAAAAAGTGTGAATTTACTTGCTAATAATGAGGGTCTCTTCTCCGTTGATCCAGACTCTCATGAATTCGCCATACATCTTGTTGTAGTAATTGCAAGCGCTGCCCACTCCCATCCAGAGGAATCGGCCATGAGAGATCAGGGGCCCAATTCCCATACAGTAGCCAGGTCCTAAAAAGAAACAAGAGAAAGAAAATGGATGTTTGTTGTTGTTGTTTATTTTTATCGGTAGTACTATTTGCATGATAAGCAAACTATGGTAACTTGGTATCACCTTGCAATTTCTCAAGTTGCTCCTGACACATATACCACCATAGACCTCTTTCCCTACCAGACTATACCACAATATTGTAGCTGAAATACCAGAGAATTTGCTATAAAACCCAACAACAGGGTATGTTTGTAGTGAGTAGACAAAAGCAAATGATTTGCAATGCCATTGTGACTGAGGTTTTTTTTAATCGTGTCCGAAGCAACTTGAGAATCTGCAAGTTGCTTCTGGTGTGAGAGAACTGGCTGTATGAGTATGTTGCTGAGGGAATGTTCAATTTTTTTACCATCCTGTGGGAGGCTTCTCTCATGTCTCCGCATGGGAAGCTGGAACTGACAGATGGGAGCTCACCTTACTCCTTGGATTCAAACTGTCGACCTTTCAGATGTCCTGAAAGGGTTTAACCCATTGCATTGCCACAGCTATCCGTTGTAACATTTATTTATTTATCCTATGAGGAGCAAACCAAGGGTCTAGTTGTAATGCATTTATAAAAAACACAGAGTTTTCAAAAGTTTACATTTCTATCCCAGAAAATTCCACATTATCTAAGTGTTGACTCAGATAACCCCGTTCAAAGCAGATATTGTGGGATTTTCTGCCTTGATATTCTGGGATATAGGGTTGTGTGGAAGGGTTCTTGGTTGTGCAAGGTCATCCTTTTACACAACGATGGTGTTGCACACCCAAAAGCACATTGCACACAGATGTGAAATGCACAACTATGCATTGAAGACAACCTTTCAATGGCCAATGCTGACAAATGTTCAGTGGTGCACATTATTTAAATATTTAAATAGAGTAACAACAGATGCTTAAAGAAATGTATGAATGCATAGGATGCATCAGTTTCCTTTCAGCCCCTGAAATAGGCAACCAAAATAATTTTGATTTGCAGTGGAAAAACAAAAGGGTGGCACAGTGGGTTAAACTGCTGAGCTGCTGAACTTGCTGACCAAAAGGTCGACAGTTCGAATTCAGGGAGCAGGGTGTTAGCCCCAGCTTCTGCCAACCAAAACATGCAAATGTGAGGAGATCAATAGGTACAGTTTTGGTGGAAAAGTAATGGCACGCCATGCACTCATGCTGGCAACATGACCTAGGAGGCATCTATGGACAATGCCAGCTCTTTGGCTTAGAAATGGAGTTGAGCACCAACCCAAAGTTGGACATGACTGGACTTAATGTTGGGTGAAAACCTTTACCTTTACTATAAATAAAGTATTATTATTATTATTATTATTATTATTATTATTATTATTATATTTCAGTTTCAGAGTTACAGATTGGGGCCCTTCCACAGAGCCCTCTATCCCAGAAAATCCCACATTATCTAAGTGTGGACTGAGATAACCCAGTTCAAAGCAGATATTTGTGGGATTTTCTGCCTTGATATTCTGGGATATAGGGCTGTGTGGTACTGAAATGTCATCCTTTTACACAACAATGGTGTTGCATATCCAAAAGCACATTGCACACAGATGTGAAATGCACAACCATGCATCGAAGACAACATTTAAATGAAAAATGTCCAGTGGTGTAAACTCTGTTTTCAGTACATTATTTCAATAGAGTAACAACAGATGCTTAAAGAAATGTATGAATGCAAGATTTCCTTTCAGCAACCAAATAGGCGACCAAAATAATTTTGATTTGCAGTGGCAAAACAAAGCCAATGACTGGAAAGATATTTGTAGTTGCAGTAATATTCTGGACTGCTTTTTCTAAAAAGGTGAACAGCTCTCTTATTCTATTATCCATCTCTCACCTGCTAAACTTTCAGAAGAGCTCACCTGGGATTGTTGATGTTTCTTCGTAGCTCCAGATTAGGAAAATGAAGCCCATGAAGACAAGCAGAGGCAGGGTGGCCGTTGGCATCGTCTCCGAGACGGCTCGGGTGATATTGTAGTGCATGGGATTCAGGGCTTCCATGACCATCTCTTCCAAGTCGATGCGGCAACACTGCTGGACGAAAAGCAAACTCAATTCGGGAGCCGAGTCAGAGCCTTTCTGCTTCAACTTCCAAGAATGTTGCGCAAACTCGTTTGTTGATCCCGAGAAGTGAGCAAACCCGCCCGCGCTTCGCTTTGCTTTATAACAAAGGCGGAGGTTTTGATTAGACAACACAAGCGACAAGTCAAAACATGAGTAGGAAAAGATAGTACACTTCTTGCCCTACCAAACACAGCCTCTTTGGCCTTGGTATTGAAGCGCAGGATGCTTACCACTCTTTGCACCAGTTGGGTTCCTATCTCCCCTATTACCCTTGAGGAGTCAATCAAATGGGGACCGGAAGGCCTGGTGCCAAGTTCCTAATCAAAGCAAAAGGAATGAAAAGCCTTTGCTGTGGGTTGAGAGGCTCTATCTTCTCTTTCAGCCTTATTACCTTCCAACATCTGCTGTAGGGGGTCTGGAATGGCCTTGGGCTTCTAAGATATCTGAAAGTCTTTCCCCAGGCAATGCTCCTGGATGGAGAATCTCACCATGGGGAAATTCAACCTGCATCCATGGATTCATGTGTGGACATCGCACAATGCTAGATCAGTGTTTCTCAACCTTCCTAATGCCGTGACCCCTTAATACAGTTCCTCATGTTGTGATGACCCCCAACCATAAAATTAACTTTCCAGTATGGATGGGCCCCAAGTTACTCTGGGGCTTAAAACAAAAGATTGCACAAAGATCTTGCTCTACTTATTCCGCAATTAATGCAAAGTGATGATGACTTAATTCAGTGGTTCTCCACCTTCCTAATGCATGACCCCTTAATACAGTTCCTTCATGATGTGATGACCCCCAACCATAAAATTAACTTTCCAGTATGGATGTGCCCCAAGTTACTCTGGGGCTTAAAACAAAAGACTGCGCAAATATCTTGCGCTACTTATTCCGCAATTAATGCAAAGTGATGATGAATTAATTCAGTGGTTCTCAACCTTCCTAATGCATGACCCCTAAACACAGTTCCTGATGATGTGATGACTCCCAACCATAAAATTAACTTTCCAGTATGGATGTGCCCCAAGTTACTCTGGGGCTTAAAACAAAAGATTGCACAAAGATCTCGCTCCCCTTATTCCACAATTAATGCAAAGTGACGATGAATTAATTCAGTGATTCTCCACCTTCCTAATGCGCGACCCCTTAATACAGTTCCTCATGTTGTGATGACCCCCAACCATAAAATTATTTTTGTTGCTACTTCATAACTAATTTTGCTACTGTTATGAATCGTAATGTAAATATCCGATATGCAGGATGTCTTTTCATTCACTGGACCAAATTTGGCACAAATACCCGATATGCCCAAATTTGAATACTGATGGGATTAGAGAGGGATTGATTTTGTCATTTGGGAGTTGTAGTTGCTGGGATTTTATAGTTCACCTACATTCAAAGAGCATTCTGAACTCAACCAACAATGGAATTGAACCAATCTTGGCACACAGAACTCTCATGACCAACAGAAAATACTGGAAGGGTTTGGTGGGCATTGACCTTGAGTTTTGGAGTTAAAGTTCACCTATATCTACGGAGTACTGTGGACTCAAACAATGATGGATCTGGACCAAACTTTGCAAAGATACTCAATATGCCCAAATGTGGAGTTTGGCGAAAACAGACTTTGACATTTGGGGGTTGTAGTTGCTGGGATTTATAGTTCATCTCCAATGAAAGAGCACTCTGAACCCCACCAATGATAGAATTGGGCCAAACTTCTGATTGTATTTGGAGACCCCTCTGACACCCCCTCGCAACCCCCTCCTGGTCCCTGCCCCCCATTTTGAGAAATGTTGTGCTAGATAGATCTGTGGACATGGAAAATGTCACCAATATCTTTCATTTGGTCCAAACAAATAGTTGAGGAATCTCCTAGCTCTGTACATATTCTGGTGTCCATTGGGAAGCATCCAACGCTTCCAATCCTGTAGTGTTTTGGGCCATTTGTGAAAACACTGTCTCTTTATCATTGTGTGCCTTGGGTACATTAAGTGTCCACATGTGTGAAAATTAGGGATGAGGCAGGGGACAGAGATGCTTCAAATGTAAGAAGCCCACTGATACTTTAAACTGCAGTGGGATTTACAGTTCAGGAGATAGTGTTCTAGATTTTCAAGGTAAATATTTGAGATGGAAAAACCCCATATTTATGGTCTACTCACTTTACTCATTTATTAGCTCAGTACATTGTAGAATCATAGAATCATGGAATCATAGAGTTGGAAGAGACCTCATGGGCCATCCAGTCCAACCCCATTTTGCCAAGAAGCAGGAAAATTGCACTCAAAGCACCCCTGACAGATAGCCATTCAGCCTCTGCTTAAAAGCCTCCAAAGAAGGAGCCTCCACCACACTCAGGGGCAGAGAGTTCCACTGCTGAACAGCTCTCACAGTCAGGAAGTTCTTCCTAATGTTCAGATGGAATCTCCTTTCCTGTAGTTGGAAGCCATTGTTCCATGTCCTAGACTCCATGGCAGCAGAAAACAAGCTTGCTCCTTCCTCCCTATGACATCCCCTCACATATTGATACATGGCCTCATCATGTCTCCTCTCAGCCTTCTCTTCTGCAGGCTAAACATGCCCAGCTCTTTAAGCCACTCCTCATAGGGCTTGTTCTCCAGACCCTTGATCATTTTAGTCGCCCTCCTCTGAACACATTCCAGTTTGTCAACTTCTCCCTTCAATTGTGGTGCCCAGAACTGGACACAGTATTCCTGTTGTAGAAAAAAAACCTTTTTTGTTTTGCTACCTCAAATATTATTCTTTGTAAATGTCTTCATCCGCCAGGCTATCACCCAAAGAGTGAGATAACTAGTGAGTACTATTGTCCTTGCATGGTTAGAGTTGTTTAGATAACAAATGATGCATGAACTTGATGCCGAAGAGTAGCTACTGTGTGGGATGTAGCCACTGAAAAGGACACCAGCTCTCCTTGAAGAAACACAATTTGCTTGGCACACAGGGTAAATATGATTTCAAAAACACAACAGTTGGACAAACATCCTCCTCCTTGAGCCCTGGTCCTGGTCCTGGTCTAGACTAGAGCAGCATTTCTATAGGTTTCCAGCACAATTAGGGTTTGGATGGGGTTGGAATGAAGATATTGTGCAATGTACAACCATGTCCGACCATGCCCAACCATGCAAACAAGGCACTACAATGCATAATCTGCAACAACTGATGTGCAATTACATCAGAACACACCTGGAATTCTGTGTCCAAATCTGGGCACCACAACTGAAGAGAGATGTTGACAAGCTGGAATGTGTCCAGAGGAGAGTGACTGAAAGGATCAAGTTTCTAGAGAACAAGCCGTATGAGGAGCGGCTTAAAGAGCTGGGCATGTTGAGCCTGAAAAAGAAAATGCTGAGAGGTGACATAATGATGGCCATTTATAAATTTATTTATTTGTCGTGTCAGATCAACCAGTCAATTATATTACATGTCTAACAGAACAAAGCAAACAAACAGATAAAATATAGCATTTGTGAGTTTGGTAGTTGGTTAAATGTTCTTTGACCAGTATCGGGCCACTTGGAGTGCCTCTGGTGTTGCTGCAAGAAGGTCCTCCATCGTGCATGTGGCAGGGCTCAGGTTGCATTGCAGCAGGTGGTCAGTGGTTTGCTCCTCTCCACGTTCGCATATCGGAGATTCCACTTTGTAGCCCCATTTCTGAAGGTTGGCTCTGCATCTCGTGGTGCCAGAGCGCAGTCTGTTCAGTGCCTTCCAAGTCATCCAGTTTTCTGTGTGCCCAGCAGGGAGTCTCTCATTTGGTATCAGCCATTGGTTGAGGTTCTGGGTTTGAGCCTGCCACTTTTGGACTCTCGCTTGCTGAGGTGTTCCAGAGAGTGTCTCTGTAGATCTTAGAAAACTATTTCTAGATTTAAGTCGTTGACGTGCTGGCTGATACCCAAACAGAGGATGAGCTGGAGATGTCTCTGCCTTGGTCCTTTCACTATTGGCTGCTACTTCCCGGCGGATGTCAGGTGGTGCAATGTAAGCAGTGTAATTTCTCCAGTGGTGTAGGGTGCAGGCACCCCGTGATAATGCAGCATGTCTCATTAAGAGTCACATCCACTGTTTTAGCGTGGTGAGATGTGTTCCATGCTGGGCATGCATACTCAGCAGCAGAGTAGCACAGCGCAAGGGCGGATGTCTTCACTGTATCTGGTTGTGATCCCCAGGTTGTGCCAGTCAGCCATTTATAAATATGTGAGGGGAAGTCACAGGGAGGAGGGAGAAAGCTTGTTTTCTGCTGCCTTGGAGACCAGGATGCAATAGAACCACAAGAAAGAAGATTCCCTCTGAACCTTAGGAAGAACTTCCTAACTATGAGAGATGTTCAGCAGTGGAACTCTCTGCCCCAGAGTGTAGTGGAGGCTCCTTCTTTGGAAGCTTTTAAGCAGAGGCTGGATGGCCATCTGTCAGGGGTACTTTGAATGAGATTTTCCTGCTTCTTGGCAGAATGGGGTTGGGCTGGATGGTCCACGAGGTCTCTTCCAACTCTAAGATTCTATATGCATGAACTGAACTTTTGTAACCAGCTGAATATAGACATTACACATCGGCCAAGAAAATGCAACAACATGCATGGAATTGCACATGAATCCAGTTCTGCTTTTCCATTGCAAGTTTGCCACACATGTGCCAGCAGGGGGAGCTAAAGCGTGCACATTTATTAAGGCTTCATGTTAATATTAAGACTTTGTATTACATATACACAACAACCCCCACATTGTTTTGAATTTTCTTTTTGGGAGAATTAAATTTCACAGGAAAATTGAAGGACAGGGCTTTAATGGTTCTGCAGAAGAGAGAGTTTGAATAACAATTCTATGTTCAGCTTCTAAATCTTAGCAGAAATTGGCCTTCACTTGTCAGCATTGTGTCAATGTGGGAAAGCCATAATCCCTAGACTAGCATACCAACAGGACCCAGCCATAATCTCAGCAATCCTATAACGG